GACCTCCTTATTAGCCAATTAATCTCACTTCTCATCTCCTCCAGCATCAAAACATGTCATTTTGATAATGCTCTCTCTCTCTCAACACTGATCCTTAAATATTCCTAGACAAATAATTCCTGCATCCCTATATATTTCATATATATATGATCTGATTGTTCAATCACTTCCACGTAGAACTAATTCCATGTCCACTTGTCATCTAAACTTCATCACCAACTCAAAGCCTACCTATCAAACCACATATCTTCGTCTTCCAAAAATCACCAGTGCTCGATAGATTGAATCTAAAGAATACGGGAGAAGTTCAACTTTGTACCTTGTCTTAACCACCCGTTTCCAGCAAACTCTTTCCACCTTCCCTGGTAGCTTTCTTCTTCTCGATAAGAACTTCCCGGTTTCCAAACATGATGGACACCACCTGATGGGCTTTCCCTCTGCAGCCCCTAAAGTCATCGTTCGTGAAACCACCCCTTCTCAGAGTGAACTTTCCACCTTCCCCATCATCCATAATAACTAACGATTAATTTCAGGGATGCGGTGCGAGCGGCAAAACTGCTTGAAGGGAAGGGATGGATGGGGATTCCAAGAGGTTTCTACAGAGGGTTTTTTTTCCTTCTTTCTCGGCTGCCGCTAGGAACAACTTCGTTTAGGGTTTGTAATGGCTTTATGCGTATATTTATATACCCATTATATTAGTAATAAAATTATTATTACTAGAATCGTTTCACTCAATCCATGTTCCAACTCTACAGTCGGGCAACGATCAATTTGGACCATGTCAATTAATTAGTCCATGGTCCTTAACTTGGTTTGGTTTTGTCTTTTCGTATGTAACCCTCGATTAAACCATTCACTTAGTATTGTCGAACCTGAACCCAGATATCGTGGTGTAACATTTTCTCCACCCTTATAAAAAATTTGTCCCCGAAATTTGCTCGGAATCATTCTTTCACGAACACTTTTCTTGTACGTCCTTGCCTCAAGAATTTATTCTCTCTATTTGAACTTCACTGGTGCCCTTTGCTTGTCTCGTATAGTTTACTATAGTCCTTATATGTCATCTTGACCATAACAGACATTCCCAGCTTGCTTGGTATCATCGAGTAGTTTTGAGTGACTCATAGTCCCTTTTAATGCCGCAACTTAGCCTGAGATAGATGAATCAGAATTCCAATTCGGTTTGATTCATTGTTCCAATTCATCCAACACTTGTTGTTGAACCTGGTTTGAAATCAAGGCACTACATGTCCTCCCCGCTAATAAAAATTTCGCCCTCGAAATTTGTCCAATATGATTACTATAAGCCTCGCTTGTGGTAGCCCTTCTTACTATGAGGGTTTGTACCACATATATTTTCATCTCTTACCTTCCTTCTTTGATACTTCATGTGACCACTTCTAGTGACACTTTCCTTCTCTCTATGTTGATTCCTCCTTTACTTCTTAACTCATGCCCCTCTTTTTGATGTTTTTTTTTATTCCTTGCCATTGATGTAGTCCTCTAGTTTCCTATATGTTCAGTTCGCCTTACGTAACAGAATCTTGAAGCTAGCTTTATGTATTCAGCATATCTAGACGACCACACTTCCACCTAAAATTAGACCGGCGAGCTCTATAATCCTCATCGACCTCTGATGGTCGAATTGTTCTTTATGGCCATTAACTCAACACCTCTTTGATGGCCTTCGTATCCTTGCTTCGTCCCTTCCTAACAATCTCCCTCCATGTGCGCTCCTTGAACTTGAGTCACTTACTCATATCTCTACCCCTTCATCGAAATTTCCATGTCCTTCCTTGAATTCGTATACTCTACTACATCACTAGTTCCACTTCCCTATTATGGACATAGAGATGGCTTCTTGAAGTCCAGCACTACTTTTAGATTCCTTACCAATCACTAAATGATTTAGCAAAACATTCTCTCAAAGGAGCTTGCAACTCCCATTTTAGATTTGCTCAATGGGTTCCTTGAAATTTGGTCAAACTTCCTCTGGCCTTCTGGCTTTCTCCTGGTATCGTACATAAATATTTCTAATCACGACCATAAAACTCTTCCTCAAAGTTTCTAACATTTATTAGAACCTTCAATGAACATTTTACTTGCTTGTCTATACTCGGTTCGCTGAATGACTTACTCCTACAGCTGATACCGGGACTCCAGCTCTTAGCCCTCTAGTTCCCACTTATACCGGAGGCTCGCTTGATGGCTTCGGAGTCCCGCCTCAACCGAGGTAAACTTGGTAGTAGCCACATCCATAAATTGCTCAATCTTCTCGAACTTTTTAGCGCTCGTGCTCACAATGGTGTTCACTAGGTATTCAAGCTTGGATAGCTTGTCGGGTTGTTGTTGTTGTTGGAACCCTTGACCCCCTTGTGCTTGGTAAGGTTGTTGGAAGTTTGAGCTTTGGACTTGAGGGCTTTGTTGGATGAATGTTGGACGAGGTTGATAATTGTCCGTGGAGCCTAGAAAACCCGGGGGTCTCGGATTAGTCGGTGACGACCACGGGAGCTGCTCGTTTGAACAAAATACACAGCATAAGTCCAAACCGAAGAATCGATTGAACTTTCAAACAAACTTAAAACAAAAACGGACCAAAGGTGCAATCTTTCACGTGGAAGAAATCTCGATTGATTTTAGGCGAAGCTCGACCACGATTGATGCGTTTTCAATCGATACGAAGCAACTCGTTGCTGGAAATTAACCAACACACAAGCTTTGGGGAGACAAGTCTCGATTCTTATTCATAACACACACCATATTATACGAGGCTTCAAGGCCCTTTAAATAGACTTCAACAAACCTAATTTTACTTCTAAACCAACAAGGACTCAAAGATAATTCCAGTTTGAACAATGAAATAGATATTCTAACTGTAAAAGGACACAAAACTCTTACTACTTCGGCCCCAAGCTACTGCCTTCCTGTGCAAGTAACCAAACCAAGTCCCATAGCTACTTTGGAGCCCTCGTTCATGGCCTTCCAAGGATCAACGACCCAAACTGGCTTCAGTCGTTTGCTCTCCTGATCCCATAGTGTAAGTTCCAACTCCCCCTTTCCATCGACGATGCCCTAGTTACATTTATTAAGCCTCCAAAGATGGTATCTCCACTACAAGAAATTAGGTATTTTTTGACGCACCCAATTTGTCATTTTAGTGTGCCATTTTGTCACTTATTGTCTAAAGTGACAAGTGTTGTGACAAAATGGCTTTATCAGCTTTGCTCCGTCGTATTAGGCCTAATGTGACAAATTTTAATTTTTCGTTTTTCATAATATTATTCGGGCAAATTGACAATATATCGTTGTCCTAATATGTTGTCCTACCATGACGAAAGATATTGTCACATTAGACTATTTATTTTGTCACACTTTAATACAACCAACTGACTAAACGAGATATTATGAGGGAACTGTTTGTCATTCACATTCGTCACTTTAAGCTGTAGGGCACGTGCCCTTTGAAATCACATATGATAAACTAATTTTGTCATATTTTTTGTCTTCAATGACGGTCCAGTTTGTCATAATAATAGATCTTCTCTGTCGTAATACCATTTTCTGACAATATATACGTCAGGATAATGAATTGTTTGTCATATTTTAAACATAAAATGATAATGGAACATTGTCATAATTTGTCCGTTCCTGTAAGCAGTAACTGTGACAAGCGAAATACACATAAAACATGTCATAAAACAAGCCGACAGTCACATTCATATAGTAAACGCTGTTTGCTGAATATTCAGGGTCCTAGCTCACAGCTTACAAAGAGGCAACATAGTTAATATTCCTGCATCACATCACACACTCCTACATTCTGTTCAGGAAAACATTCTCTAAGGACGACCTCCTCAAGTCATCTGAACACACGGTCGTGGAGGGATGCGTCCACACCTACACTTGCAATTTGAGAAGAAGCTAGATTGAGACTTCACATTCGTGCATAATTGTTTCTAACATATTGACTAAGTTTTATAGATCAAATTCATGCATTGAAAAATAGCTATGTACCTGGTGCAATCATTTCCTGCCGAGTTTGGCGAGGACGGATTCCATACTCTTTTGCATCTTCTCTTGTGCCTGGCGCATTCGTTCCATCTTTTCCCCTTGGTTAGCCAAACGCTCATGTTGCTGATCAAGCTCTACTTTATGTTTTTCAATCTCCTCATCCCGAGCATTAATCTTCTCATCCTGCTCTACCAGCTTGGCCGCCAACTCCTTGGTCTTACTTTCCGCCTCTGCCTTTGCTGTTGCCAGTTCTGCTTCCAGCTGAACTTCTCTTGCCGACTTCCTCACTGCTTCTTTAGGTCCAAACTTGAGCTTCCTCTGCAAGACCTTCTGAACGATGTCACGACCTAGCAGTGGATTCCCATCTGCCTTTGCTTGGGCATGGAGGGCCAGCATCGCCTCCTACATCGCACCAAAATAAAAGTCACCACACCCAAATATACAGGCCACAACATAAAAGATATCCCAAAAAAAGTTCACAGAAGGTAAACGAGGACTTGTAATTGACTTGTAATATTCCACTTCACACTACTGACATAGTGAATTGTGGCAAACAGAACTCCCACTAAAGCTCAAATAGATAATTGCAACTCTGATGGTTAATGCATACATAAGAGCAACAAAGAGCCATGGTTCTCTTCGAGAAATCCCTTTCAGGGGTTTGCTTAATTTAATTTCCATCAACGAATAAAATATAAAGAGCATATGTGGCAAATAGAAGTATGGCTTATGAGACATCAGCAAACTAACAAGACAGAATCACTTTTCAGTCGTAGGACACACTATAATTGGCATTGCTCTCAACAAACCAACTTGCGATTCTAAATACAGCAGCCAAAACATTGTTATCAAAGAACCGTCCAAATTTACCCTCATGAAGCAACAAAGTGAGAGGGATTATGATACCCCTATTCAACCCACTAATTCAATCTTAATTCAATCAACCTATTACAATAACTATACATCGAATATCCATTCATGTTCGTGGACTAGGTACACAATATAAGAGGAGCAGAAGGGCTTACATAATTTGCTTTCGGTTCCTCGCTCACCCAAGTACCATCACTTGCCTTCTTGTGTGTGTTGGCATACAACTCAATGTCAACGGGCACCGCATCATTATCCTCAGCATCCTGGTCATCTACCTACTCTGTTTGAGCTACTTGTGCAACCAGCTTCTTTTGCTCCTATACATGATAGTTCAAATGTTCAAACACGGTAAAGGTGTGGTAAGTGGCCTGTTTACCCCTAGTTTATAGTCAGCTTTTTAAATTCAGATTTGTTGTTGTACAAAGATGTAAATAAAACTTAATGCTATACCATTTCATACACTCTCTAGTCGTGGATTTTTCCCCACTAGTTTGAGCATACTGCTGCTTAGCCTTGTTTTGTATGTTATTTGTGCTCCACCCCTGCAAACAGAAATGTGTTCTAAGCTGTCATCTTGTACAAGTGTCATCAAATATCCAAACACGAAAGCTTTTACCTTGAATCGATCACTCTCACAGTGCTCACAAAGGGCCTCCCAGTCTTCCTGTTTCACTCCTTCTGGACGGTTCAAACGAGCTTTGGCCAGGTCTTCCTGTTCCTTGTAGTGTTTATGACAGGTGTACTTGTAGTTCAAGAAGTGTTTGTGGAGTTTCTTATCTAAAGCCTTCCTCACCTCTTCAGTAGCTAAGGCAAATACAAACTCGCTCTGCAATTTCATCAAATTCCATGCATTCAGACTATGCAATTTATAATTTTAAATTAACAAAGACAAATTACCGTACCTCTAGTTTTACAAACATAGGGTGTTTGACTTCATCATCTAACTCATTCCAATAGTACTTCCTTATGGGAGCCATCATACGAGCAACGACACCAACTTCTGTATTCAGCAACTTTTGGTTAGGGCCCACAATTGCGTGGCTGTTCTCTTGAAAGAATACTCCATCGATCCTACTCCCCCAGTGGTCCGTGCCATCACTTGAACACCTTTGGTCAGCCCCCTCTTTCAGCCACCTATGGATGTAGATCAAATTATAATCATCCAAAACAGTAATAGAAATGTGATAATCCATGTTTCTCAAGTGACAAAAGAAGAGTTAGGATAACACACACCTGTCTTTTCCGGTTGTTCAGGCATGGATTTGGCAGTATTATCTGCATTCTCGTCAATCTCCTCTATAGGTTCAGTAGTCCTCCTTGTAACCCTCGGAGACACCCGGTCTTCACCCCTCAGAGATACCCCTTCACCCCTCGGAGACCTCCCTCCATCCATAGGAGACACCCCTTCACCCCTCTTAGACCTCCCTTTACCCCTCGGAGACCTGCATTTTTTTATCGGAGACCTCAGTGGACCCATGTACGAGCTCCCTGCATTCTCTACACTCCTTGCTGGATGGGATCTGGTCACTCGTTCACTGACCGTCATCGGCTGCTTCCCAGTCCTGGCTTTCTTTTCAGGCCTCGGTGGCATTTCTGCTCACAGTCCAAACAAAGTTAAACCGTCAGCAAATATCCAAACACTTATAAACGTATAAACTCAACAAAGATGTAGAGTATAATAGACAACATAGGGAAGTGAATATTTTTGCTTAGCAATATATGTAGTTTATTAACCAAAATTTCGCATACATTGTAAAACAATATAAGTAAATGCAGAATCAAATCCTTCTGTACTTGGTTAAATGGGGAAATGAGTATTTTGTCTTAGCAATAAGTAGAAAACAAGACGTAAAATAAAAGGACCAGCTGTCATTATGCACTCGCTACTTGTCATATTCATCGTCACTGTCGATTTCGTCCAAAGGGATATTAGCTGCTGCTCCCTCCAAAACATCATCCTCTTAGACCTCCATTGTATCCTCTGTATCGAGTATAGCAACCCTTTTTTTAATAACGCTCTCACTGAACATTGTGGGAGCCTCGTTTGCACGATTCAGGTCATCCAACTCCGTGTCCTGCACTTGAATCACATTGCCAACACCACTCTCTTCTTGCTGAAATGCCTCACTTGCATACACAGGATCATTGACTTCCCCTTCCTCCTTCTCAGGAACATCATACACGTGTGGGGGAGTAACCTTGATAATAATATGCCAAGCACCACCATTCTTGATATCAGGTATATAAAATACCTGATTCGCTTGACTAGCCAATATATATGGCTCATTTTGATACCATTTTCTACCCATATTAACACTAGTAATGAACCCATCTGACTGTATCCCATGCCTGCCATCTCCTACATTCCACCAATCGCATTTGAACACAAAGACGCGATTACCATTAGGGATGGCAATTTCGACCTGACCCGTTTTACCCGACTTGTTTGACCTGTTTTGGGGCGGGCATGGGTAGTCTCATCAACTCGACCTGCCCTGACCCGCCCCATTCTCGACCCGTTCTTGTCTAAATTACATGTAATCTTAGTCAAATTACTTAGAATTTTCCTTTTATTGCATCATATTTTAGCTATAATAAAGTTGTAAATTAGTAAAAACTTCAATTTCTCCAATAATTTAACTACAATTGTCATAATATTGTTTGTTTTCTTAGTCTTATAATAAAAATAACGAATATTTCTAATGTTTTTCATATAAATTGCATACCCATTGGGTCGACCTGCCCCAACCCGTGACCCGTGATCAATTACCTGACCTGGACCCGACCTGCCACGGGGCGGGTCTGGGTACCAAGAAACCCGCCCCGGACCTGCCCCATTGCCATTCCTGATTACCATAGCAGTAGGTCAGTTGATATATGGCGACTAGCACACCGTAGAAGTCAATATTCTCTCCATTATGAGCTCCTTCCACAAATAAACCCCTGTTCTGAGTCCTATGGGTTTGTTTTGGGTCAAACACTTGGTAACGAACACCATTAAAGAGGATGTTGTTGTACCTAGTGACGCGTGTGTCTGCCCCTAACCCTAATACATGTAAATGGTCTCGCGCTTTAAGGGAACCAGCCAAACACAATTCTGTAACCTAGGCAGTCAGTGAAGTAGTGAAAAGAACAAAAAAGTTAGCTCTAAGGGATTAGCAAGGAAATCAGTTATTTATAATGAAATAAAATGGCACCGAAGGCAGGAATGGGGGAATCATCCACCATAACTTACATGTTGGTTCAACCAAGACGGAAAGTTAGCTTTAAGGGATTGATAGGAAATGTTAGGGTTCTCTTTAACCTGCTCATCTTTATGCATGCTGTGCAGCGATAAGAAACCAGATATGTCGAGGAGTAAAGATGTGTAAAAGAAAACGTTGCATTTAGTAGTCAAAGTTAGATTGTACTTACTTGATAATGTCTTCAATTTCATCGCAATTATTAAGTATATACCATTGAATTTACTCAAATTCTTCTACTGAAATCGGGTCATAACGAGTAGCTCCTAGTGTTCTACCTTGTTGGGTAAAAACACGAAAGCCCTCAAACTCAACACCTACAAACCCTTCCAAGTATCTAGAACAAAAATTGGAGCACTCTTTTGCAATATATCTTTCAGCAATGGACCCCTCAGGGTTAGGAAACCTAAGTACAAAAAAACAACAGCCCATAAAATAAGGTTAATGACATAGTGGATTAACAAATTAGAGTATGGTGTGAACGAAAAACAAAAGTTCTACCTCATACGGGTAGATGAACGGGAAGGTGCATCATAATCACGAAAAAAGATGGAGGGTATAACATCTCAAGCTTACACAAAATGAGAGGTATGTTGTGGTCCAAATTTTTTACAGTGGCTTTGGATATTGTTTTGGAACCAAACTCTCTGAAAAAACCACTCAACTCAGCCAAAATAGTGTAAACTTCTTTTGCGAAGAAACCATTAGCAACAACAGGCAGCAATCGTGGCTTTTAAGCCCCCTCACCGACTTACCATCAGTAGTCACACACCGGGATATGTTTGATGCATAAGCATCGGGAAATTTTACAGATTTCAACCAGTCACAGAATTCTCTACGTTGCAGCGCTGTTAGTGTGTACAAGGCTTGTGGCATCTTAAACTTATCACCAACAGGAATTAAATGCAATTCCTTCCTAATGGACATCTGTTTTAAATCCATGCAAGCATTTGGCGTTTCCTTTTATTTCCCATCAATGCTCATCATCGTCCCGATAACATTGTCACTAATGTTCTTCTCCACATGCATGACATCTATGTTATGCCGCAAGTCAATAGACTTCCAGTATGGCAAAGTCCAAAACGAAGATCTTGTTTTCCAATTGAACTTGTCCTCGACAGCACTCATTTTCCGTTTCACACCATCATGAACAGAAACATCCCCACTGAACGCAACTTCAACCTGTTGCAGTATCTCTTCCCCTGATAATTTCTTAGGTTTGTTTCTGTGTTCTAGCTTCCCATTGAACTTCTTAGTCCTCCTCCAAGGATGATCTTTGTCCAACCACCTTAGATGCCCCATGTAGCACTCCTTGCTTCCATATTCAAAAAGTTGAGAACAAATCTCAATGTTGCACACTGGGCAGGCCAGTTTACCCCTAGTGCTCCACCCCGAAAGCATGGCATATGCAGGGAAATCATTGATGGTCCACAGCAATGCAGAACGCAATTGAAAAGATTCATTTGCATGAGCATCATATGTGAGAACCCCATCATGCCACAACTCATTCAACTGTTCTATAACGGGTTCTAGATAGACATGAATTTTATTCCCGGGGTATTCGGGACCAAGAATCAGGACACTGAGGGAAAAAAAGGGTCGGTCATACATAACCAAGGTGGTAAGTTGTACGGGGTTAAGACAACAGGCCACATACTCTAGTTGTTGCTCATGTTACCGAATGGGTCAAACCCATCACTAAGAAGCGCTAGTCTGACATTCCTGGGATCTGCAGCAAACCAAGGGTGATCCCGATCAAAATCCTTCCACATTTTACCATAAGCTGGATGCCTAAGCATATCATCATCAATGCGTTTATCCTTATGCCACCGCATATCTTTTGCTAGATCTTTGGTAGTGAACAACCGCTGCAACCTATCCTTAATGGGGAAGTATCTAGCTCTCTTTAAGGCAACATCTTCTGTTTACCAGATTTAAACCTAGGTTCTTTACATTTTGGGCATTCTCGAGAAGCTTCAAGCTGCCTCCTATACAAAACACAGTTATTGGGACATGCATCAATGATGGTGTAACCAAATCCAAGATCACGCATATACTTCTTCACCTCATAGAATGAAGTGGGAAGTGTTTCCCCATTCGGTAAACCTTCCTTGATTAATTCAAGATATTGGTTGAATGCTTTATCACTACTGTTTGTCTGTATCTTGATGTTCATCATTTTCATAACATAGGACAGTTTTGAAATTTTTTTGCATTCAGGGTAAAGAGGGCAATTGGCATCTTTGAGGAGCCTTGCCAATGCACCATTATTATTAGGACCGTGGGAAGGTTCAGCGGTTGTTAGACACTCATTCGCCCTACCAAAATCACCCAACATTTCAGACATGTCGGTCTGTAACCCACTCTCTTCATTATGAACATCGTCAGACTCAGTCGGTGGGTTTTCACCGCTATTACTAACAACATAAGACTCACCATGATGGACCCACGTTTTATATGTCTCGACCATGCCATGTTTAAATATGTCTCCTCGCACCTGGACTAATGTCTTAAAGTAGAGATTATTGCAGTTCTTGCACGGACATCTAACCCTACCAATTGCATCAACATGATTAGAAGCAACTTCCATGAACTCATTAACACCCAACTCATAATCAGCACACCAATGATCTTTGAGCATTATCCACTCATGACTCATTACGCGTTAAGGTATAACTAACCTTTGATTGCAGTTCGTAACTTGCCGCAGCAGGTTGTGATCGACCAAAGAGACAAATAATCTGAATGTAGTATTAAACTTTGAAATCACTTCAAAGCAGCTCAAATCTAGTAAACAAATTATGCTTTTTTGAACTTAGAAAGGAGATAAACAGTACACTAGAGAGATAGTCATCTTAGTTAAACCCAAACAGCATGGTGCTTCAAATCATACGCGTTTCAGAATCAACAAGATCAAGGGAAGTCATCAGAATTACGAATTCAACATCTAGGTAGATGAGGTAATCATCATAAGGACTAATCTTTTCAATCATGTTTCAGATTCTGAAGGCTTTGTATGGCATAATACAAGACTGATTAGAGCAGAGGACCTACCTTCACTAAGGCTATTCAGAAGGCACCTTACTGATCTAAAACATGTTATCTAATAATGATTCTTTACCTCAAAAACCTAAACATTTACTTTTTTTTTCTACATCTCCGTAACACATTCAAGTGGCTAAGTACGGAGGAAACAAAGCAGATTTCAAACAAAATGGACAGCACTCAACACCATATTCAGACTTCACAGCCATCAACAAGCTAGAGAACAACCGGTGTAAGTCATGGCACATTGGCGTTTCAGAAACAACAACCATCCCCATAAAAAACCAAACCAAATGTTGCCTTCATCCAAATCCATTGCATCAAATTAACTCATTTCGCGTACCAGCTATAAAAATTTCTTAACAACTATCTATGTAAGCCAATCCATACACTGGGCTTACACGAAATCGATGGCCAAACTTACCCGAATTATCGACGGAGGGAACTCGCGGCAGGGAAGGCAGGCCGTCGAACCAAAGTTGCAACTTGGTTAATCGGAGACTGTTGATTCGGAGGGAAATCCCTACCCCTGTGCAAGAGCGCCTATGAACGACAGAGATAGAAGGAAAAAAATGAGGAACCCAACTCTGCTTTTATCGGGATCAGGTATCCACCATGCAAATCAAAACCAAAATCGCAGAGGAAAAGGAGTCCAGGGTGGGGAGAGGGGTTTGGACTTTTCAATTCACACTGAAGATGGAATTGGGGTTTCTGTTCCTGGAGCTGAAGGGCTAGAGAGGCGGATTGGGGGGGGGGGGGTTTCGTCTTGGAGGGAAGGGGAATAATAGTCCCACCAAATGGAATTGTGGACGAAAAATAGAAATTATAAAAAATGTAAAGGAAAAGTTTATTTCATTCTGCACGCCATATTGATAATCGGCTTTAACATATTGAATTTTTGGACTTTATGTGATTATCCATGGTATGTTTTAGCCAATTGTGCTATTTTAGGGCTCGCTAACCCGAGAATGGTTGGAAAAAAAACCATTACTGCCTAGTGCCATGAGTTTGATATATTACAGGTGGAGAAAGCACAGAAAAGGAGCGAGTACATAAGCAATAAATCGGGCTCGAATTACTGTTGGACTTCTCACTTGGGCTCAAGGCCCAACGACCTTGAAGAGGAAGCTTGGGACGAGGGAAGAAGTGGGCCTGGTGAAATAATGGCTCAGGGGGAATTGGACACGGGCAACAAAATTATTCGGGGAAGGAGAATTGGACTTGAGGCAATTATTGGAGGGCGGCTGGCTTTTCTACGAGGGGAAGGGGGAATTAAATTGGAGGCGAGGCAACTTTTGTAATTGCTGGGCGGAACTCTTAAGAAAGCGGGGGGAACGGCAGCAACGCAGTGACACGAAAATTCTTTGCCGAGAGAAAAAAAGACGCAGGCAGCAGCGAGTAGCGAGCAGTGCGATTAAGGCGAATTTCGATCGACTTCTCCAAGCGGCTTGAGCTGAGTTCAACGAGAGCGATTAGTTGGTTGGATTTTCTGAACCAAACTAGTTGTTTATTGTTGATTTAGAACATGATGAACAAAACCCTAATGTATTATCTTAATTTCATCATGAACTAAACCCCGATTTCTGGGGGAAACACCATAGGATGTAGCTATTTCTTGATTTGATGGATTGATTCATGATTATTTTCTTCCGATCTCTATTGCATGAAATTACTTAATGCTTTGTGTTGACTGGCCACCAATACATAGATTTGTAGTTAATTCGGTTATTAGCGACAGTGAAACCCTAATAACTGAACCTATTTCATGTGACATAGTAACTTATCAAAGCGAAAGTGGATTAAATAAGGTACCATGCGGTCTTGATTGGGATATCGTTCTTCAGGCGAAATAGTTAATTCATTGAGCTACGACAATAGGATTTGAATTAATTGTTTAGTACGTAGTAATTCCCGACAGGGATAGCTAGCACAGTAGTGACATCCTGGCTGTAGAGTATGGATTAAACTGATTAGAATATGTGAATTAATTTGGATATGATAGGTAGCGAGTCCCGGTGTTTCTCCGAGAGCCTTCTCCCATTAATTTCAACCCGACAACTTTAATTTGCTTGTTTTGTTTAATTATTTTGCTATTAGATAATAGTTTCATCACTCAAATCATTTGCACCTATAGTTTGCTCCATATAATTGACAGAATATAAGGTTGTACCAGTCCCTGTGAGACGATACCCGGACTTTCCGGACTTACTACGAGATAGGAATTGAAGCAATACGCTTTTGCCCTATCAAGTTTTTGGCGCCGTTGCCGGGGACTGCCATACCTTATTTTTGTTGATTTTTGTGAGTGAACTATTTTGATCTGGGCGTTAGTGTTCAGACGAATTTTCAGGTTTATCCTCCTCTTGCATGCTAAGGAGGACGACTGGCAATTTACTGCCACTTGATCCAGAGATAGAGAGGACCTGCCGACAAAACAGGAAGCAGGTCAAGTTAGGGAAGCAGCCACCCACAACCACAACTCCTAGGCCTTCCCTAACCCAGAGAGGGCAGGCTTCATCATCTGTCGTCCCTACACCACCACCACCACCCCGTGACATCGAGCTTGTCATCATGGCAGACGAGGATCGTTCGATTAGGGCTCGCTTGAATCGAAGGACTGGAGCCCGAGCTTCATGTGTTGTCATTCCGGCTGGGGATGTAACCATGGAGATTACCACGGCATTTATCAACATGATCACCAACGGGTACACTTTCTCCGGGGCTAGCAATGAGGATTCTCACGAACATCTCCGCCGGTTCGCGAGCATATGTGATACGATGAAGAGCCCAACTGTGTCTGATGATGCAATCCGTCTTTGGATGTTCTCATTCTCTCTGATAGGGAATGCATCACACTGGTTTCAGACCTTAACACCACGTTCCATCACGACATGGGCTCAGCTTGAAAAGGTCTTTCTGGATAAATACTTCCCACCTGCCTTGACAATGAAGAGGTAAGAAGAGATTGTTACTTTTAAGCAGGCTGATGATGAGAGTCTGACTGAGGCATGGGAGCGCTATAAGGGGCTATTGATGAGATGCCCAAGCCATGGTCTTGAAGATTGGAACGTGATTGACACGCCAAAACACAACACCAATCTGCGACCAAGTGTAATCGCAGACCGGGAATGCAGTAACAGGCAAGTTAAATTATCAACCCGGGGTCTAGATCTACTGCTTACTCAGTGATTCTCTGTTATCTAGCCAACTAAAGTAAGTGATTGTTGTTTAAAAGCAAAAGCAGAAAGAAAGCAGGAAATTATTCGGTTTTCTCAAGCAGGAAAGAGTCACTCGGGAATGAGTCCCCCTAGCTCCTTAGTTAGGTTTCAATTGTATTTCCCTGGGTTGATTTACTGTTGATTAGACTGCGGAAGATCCGACAGTAGCTTGGAATCTCTTAAGCTGACCAAGCACTCTCAGTCTAACTACCCGGCAGACGACTAGTCTTCACCGGGATAGAAAGCTGAAGCAGTAAGAACAGAACTCCACTACTGGAATTGGATTCCAGTACAAAGCAGTAAACTGGCTAAATCTCGTATAGCCAATCTCCTACTATCGAATGATGAGACTCTAGCAACCTAATCAGATTCTATCTATCTCAGATTGCAGCAGGAATCAGGAAAAGTTGATCAGACTTCAATTGACTCAATAAACATGCATCATTCGATTAAAATCAAACAGTAATCTCATCCCAAGTCATTACAATCAATCCCTAACACATAGAACTAGGGTTCTTCATCCCCAAGTGAGAGAGGGGTTCTACTCCATAGAGAGAGAGAGAGAGAGGAAAACAAGATACAAAGTAGTCATACTCATAAAGATGAGGAAAATCTGCTCTAGGATGATGATTTCCACTCCTATGACGATCTCCAAGCTTGATTTGATGAAACCCAGCTCCAAGATGGCTTCTAGGATGTGTTCTTCGTCCTTTCTCTCTCTAAGACTCTGTTTTTGCTCAAAAAGTCTGATTCTCTCTCTTGAAGCCCGGAATTGGGTTAAAACCAGGAAATACCGACTCACACGGGTAGGGCCACACGGCCGTGTGCCATACCCAGTTGCCCGTGTGAGTCAAAACGCTGCGTTGCACTTAGTTCGATCTTCAGGCTTCTCACACGGCCAGAGTGGCACGGCCGTGTTTGATTTCCATCTGCCCGTGTCTGCTCTCGGCAAAAGTCACACGGCCAGACCACTTCTTCACACGGCCGTGTGAGTTGTCAGGGCAGCCCGTGTTTGCTCTCGGCAAAACTCTCACGGCCAGAAATATGAGATGCACGGCCGTGTGATTTGTGGGTGTGCCCGTGTGGCCTCCTTTGTGACTTGCCTCGCGCCCGATCTTCGTCCAATCGACCCCAAACTCGCTCCCAAGCCTCCATTCATGTACTAGGACCTGAAATATCACAAACAAGCACAACCTAGCGTGAAATTGGCCTAAAACACGAGAAATCATATCTCAAACGGTGTAAGAACAGGGGTAAAAACATGTGTAATTAACGGTCTATCAAAATCCCCCACACTTAACCGTTTGCTTGTCCCCAAGCAAACCAAGTCAGACACAAGGTAAGCTCACATATTTCAAATCAACCAACATTGGGGACAAGTCATAAAGGCACAAAACACGTGAATCGTACTGATTTTCAAACATCAACACATGAGCAACTTCATTAGCAACCTAGACAACCACCACAAAGGACATTCGAGTGCAGCAAAATCCAGTAAAGGAAGAGTCTCCCTTCTGTTCACCAACCAACCTAGACTTGACTCAACCACTTACTCAAAACAGTCAACTCATGCATCCAACTCAAGACATCAGAATAGAGACCGAGCAATCTAGGTCCTCACCGGGGTACAAGAGTATATAGAATATGAAAATGAATCACTCACTCTCGACCAGTGGGGTCAGGGCAATTTGATGCGAAAAATGCGCATGTTATTTCTCTCAGTCCCTAACATCTCTTCACCATGATGGCAGCCTCTAAATGCTAGAGTTCACATATGGGGTGTCACCACTAACTAATCAGGAGGTCTTAGACACAGGTTCAAATGACTGGCTAGGGTCTTGGACATGGGGAAAAGGCCTTTTAGGTGGTGGAAGTATTCATAGCACAAGGTTCCACATTTCCAAACCCAAACAATCACAGTCAAACAAACAGGTATTTCCTTTCTGCTATTCTGCATTACTCAATATCTCAAGAGCACAAGAGCGAAGGAGGTAAAAATGTCAGCATTTCCAAGCCAGGCTGCTAAGAAACGCTACTTACTGGGCATTATTCAGATTTTTGGTAGTGGCTCTCTTTGCTTTCAATTTTTTCCTTTGCTTTTCTTTCATTTTCTTTGCATTTCTTAAGAGAGCCACCACTTCTGCATATATTTCAAACACCTGCCCAGCTCAACTTTTAAGCACTACCTCCAACATTCACATCAAATTCAGCAGAAACAGCAGAGAATATGTAAAAACCACTCTGTGGAACCTTCTAAAAGATGTAAACAGGGTGATTTTTTTCCATTTCAGACCAAAAGAAAGGATAACACAGCGCTCAGGACAGTCAAATTTGGTCGTGGGCTAATCCTATGCCCCCATCATCTTAGCTAGTGACAACGTGAATGCTACACATCATGGAAGAGAGATCTATCGCACAAGAAAGAAACGAGCAGGCTCAAATCTCACATGGCTACCTATATGCTTTATCTCACATTCTGATACCCTGAACTAGATGCATAAGAGACTGTCAAGAACAAGTAATCAATCCAAGTTACAGTTGGTAAGCAAACAGTTGGAAAACTGAACCCCTACACAACTCTACTGCACATCTTAGTCCTCATCATAGGTTGTCCCAGTCACATCAAGCTGTCATGCATCAATCCGAAAACCATTCAATTCATCAATCAAAACACAGTGCCAATATGATCAAACAGCAGTACTTGGAGCCCTCAAATCTCGAGATTTGGACAGTGGACTAGGCTCCAAGCACACATATATACATTCCAACCGATACAAAGCACCCCCCCACACTTAAGCACGAAATTGCCCTCAATGGAGCAGAGGGATAGAGAAGGGGAACGATGTTACCGGATTGAAACTGCTGGGGGACTGGAAGTGGACCAGTCAGCGAGAAACAAACGGGAAGATGGACCGTTCTGCACGAATCGAACACCAAGAACACACTAGCACACTGTGCGTTAGGGATAAGTGTTAGCCCAGATGGCTACAGAAAAAAAAACAATCCACAAAAGAAAACCGAAAACAAAAACAAACGACACTAAGTTCAAGCTCCCCACACATGGAGCAAACACACAAAAGTCTAAAACGAAAAACAAAACACACTGAGATGGGCAATGAGTACAGCCTACTCGTCACCGAGGTCGTCCAGATCGAAGTTGATGTCGTTCATGAAGGCGTCACCACCATCAGCACCATCATCACCATCTGCTGGGGGAGGTGGAAGTGGAGAGTCCTCCCAGGGAGTCCTCCAAACGGGCTGCTCGCCCGGTAGCAACTGGAGTAAATGCTGCTGGACCTCCTGCATGCGCCGAGAACGGCGCCTCTCTCGCTCGATGTGGGCGAGAGTCACTCCCTGCTGGGTCTGGAGCTGGTCCAATCTCTCATCGTAACCAGCCATCCTCTGGTGGTACTCGGCCTGGTGAGCCGCGTACTGCTGCTGGAACTGCATCTGATGGTCGATGATCCGCTGGTTCTGGAGACGCAGCTGCTCGAACTGGGAGGTGAAGTAATCCTGCCCCGGGAAACTGGAGCTGCCACCCCCGAACTCGAAGGTGGTGGGGCGGGCGGCAGCAGTGTCGTCCACGTCCTCGGGATGGACTCCTCTTCAGCTGCACCCTCTGGAACCTCCTGCTGGACCGCCTCTGGAATCTGAGGTTGAGGAAACCCCTCTATCCACGTGACCCCTCTCTCTTCTCGAAGCAGGAGCATTTTGGTGAGCGTAGCCCTGCCAAAGGGAGTGGTCGCTCCCTGCTCCGTGCACCCCTGCAGGGATATCTGGAAATACTCTGCCAGGCAGGTGATGAGAGGAGTGCAGTGTAGTCTCTTCAGCTCAGAAGCACTCTTCTCGAAGGTCCTCGCCACCACCGAGCCCAAGTGCAGGGGATGATCCCTCTGGCGCATGGACTGAATGAAGTACAGGGATCTCTTGGTGATGGCGCTGGCACTGTCTGAGGCTGGGGTGTAAGACTTGGCCAGCAGGTGATGGAGGAGACGGTTTTCGAGCTGCAATGTGGTGGCCTTCGTCTTCCCCGCCTTGAAGGGAAGCTGATGTGGCCGAGCGAGGCTGAAGTACAGCCTCCCGAAGTCCACCCTGTCGGGCTCGGCAACCTCTGTGATGAAGTTCCTGTCATTTACCAAGTTGAGGCCCAGGGCGTCCGCCAGCTCGTCGTAACTCATAGAGCGTGGTTCACCCCCGAGTCGGAACTGGACTGCAGCTTCATCCTTCCAATCATCCGTGGCTGCGTGCCTGAAGGTGGTGTAGAACTCAAGCACGAGCTCATGGTAAACCGTCGCGCGGATGCTGAGTAGGCGGCGCCAGTATTTGTTGGTGACAACGGGGGCGAGGTGCTCGTAGCAGTTGAGCTTCTCCAACTTGTGCTTCGACCAGTAATGGTGCTGCCCAAACTTGCAGGCCAGGACGTTCTGAAAACGATCACGGTGGGGAGCCCTTATCAAGTCTTGAACATACTAATGTCGAAGGTTGGGTTTCGACATGATCCTGCAAAAGAACAGCCCAAAGTGGAACCAAAACAGCCAAGAAAAATGTTAATCCCACCCCCACACTTAAGAACAGAAAACAGCCTAACCATGGTTTCATCCATAGTTCGGGGGTCAGAAACTCGATAAATCAAGCATAATCTGAGTGGGGGGTGCACATCCATGAACAAGTAGGCAACTTAAGGTTCACATCCATACCAAATACACCCTCAAAGCACATCATTAAGGGCCCCAACCGACCCCCACAAAATGGTACGAAAACAGGCATTTCATCGAACACCTTGTGTGCACTATTAAGGTAAGCATGAAATTGGCACAATTCTCGCACACAAGGGCTCAAACAATCATGGGGGACTTTGCCCAACACAATTCAAACACACTCCATGCATTCCCCTCAATCAATTTCGCAAAACTCACAAGATACAATAAGGTTCTCTAAACATACACCCTAACACCCAATTCTCCACAATTAACATAGTTAAGGGCAAAATCAAACCTGGAGACTCAAGTAGAGGTGTATGGCATGATGAGGGGAAGGCGATGGAAGCGACGAAAAGCCGAAAAAGTGCCCGGAAGTGCTCGTCGGAGCCTCGCCGGAGTCTGGCCGGAAATTGCCTCCGGCGACAAAAACGTCGGCCAAATCTCCTCAAAATGGAGGGATAGGCCTCTTTTGGTGGAGGAAGGGTGGGTTTGTTGTTGGTTTGGTGAAAAGATGACAAAAAATGGCCGAAAAAATCAAAAAAGGGGGTTTTTTGCGCGGTTTTCCGGCGAGGGGGAGAGGTTTTGAAATTTTCTGACGACCCGGCCGTGCTGGCCGAATATATAGGCCGTGTCTCGGCCACACGGCCAGAAATATATAGGCCGTGTCGCGTGCACTTTTGCCCGTGTCGGCCAACACGGCCTGGCCGAGGAATTTCACTCGGCCGTGCCGAGTGCTCATTTGGCCGTGCCATATTCTGCGAGAGCAGACACGGCCAGGGCACTCCTTCACACGGCCGTGCGATCAAATGCTTTGCCCGTGTCGGCCGCACGGCCAGGCCAGGCCGATCCACACGGCCGTGCCAGTTGCACATTTGGCCGTGTGGAAATTGCCGAGAGCTCACACGGCCGTGTGAGTTTAAGGCTTGGCCGTGTGAACTGCTGGAGCACCAAAATTAACCTGTTTTCACTCAAAAACGATATTCGACTCTGGAACAACATCTCAAGACTCAAAAAACACAAAAATCAAAAAGAAAAAGGTAAGAAAATGCAAACCTAGGTGGGGTTGCCTCCCCACAAGCGCTTCTTTACCGTCTTTTAGCTGGACGCCAGTAGAGGAACTAAGGGTCCTCGAGCTTGATCAGCAGCTCTGCGCGCTCGACAGCACCTCCCAAATACAACTTTAGGAGGTGGCCATTCACCTTGAATGGCTCGGTTTGAGCATTGCTGATCTCCACCGCACCGTGCGGGAAAACTTGGGTGACCGTGAAGGGACCCGACCACCTCGAACGGAGCTTACCCGGGAAGAGTTTGAGGTGTGCATTGAAAAGCAGAACACGATCACCTACCTGAAACTCTTTCGGGCCCCTCAACCGAGCGTCGTGGAGACGCTTGGTGCGCTCCTTGTAGAGCAGGGTGTTCTCGTAGGCGTGGTAACGCCACTCCTCCAACTCCAGCAGCTGCAACTTACGTTCTGTACCTGCAACACTCAAATCCATGTTTAGCAGCTTAATGGCCCAGAAGGCCTTGTGCTCTAGCTCTACCGGCAAATGGCACGCCTTCCCATAGACAAGCCTATAGGGAGAAGTGCCAATCGGATTTTTATAGGCAGTCCTATACGCCCAAAGAGCATCATCGAGCTTGGTGGACCAATCCTTGCGAGACTGATCCATCGTCTTTTCAATAATTCGTTTTAGCTCCCGG